AAGTCTGCCTCATCCCGATAAGCCGGTGAGTTAATGAATCACAAAACAGGTGGTGGTGGCTGTGGCGCGGGTCGGGCAGGAAGAGGAACACGAGTCGTCCAAGTGTCCTCAACTACTACGATTGTTTGAAAATTATCTTCTTAATTACAACTTTCCTTACGACTTTCTTCTCCCTCCCTTACCGCCAGCTTCCAATCATTTTCTCATTCTCTCTCTCTCTCTCTCTTCCATCAATCAGGAGATGCATGTGAGTTTCAATGCATGTGAATTGATTAACATATCTACTGTAAAGTCATCTTTTATTTATCAAGTGATAAGAATTGCGAGGTTAAGATTACATTTAAAATTTATTTGTTCTCTTATTATAAGATCTATTTTTTATGAATTTTTACTTGATACTCCAAAAATACGTTGCTTTAAAAAATGTTTTCAATTTAGAAGCATCTCTCTCTCTCTCTCTCTCTCTCTCTCTCTCTGTATCTCACTGTATCTCTCTCTCTCTCTATCTATCTATCTCTCTGTATCTCACTGTATCTCTCTCTCTCTCTCTCTCTCTCTCTCTCTATCTCTCTCTTCGCTCTCTTCATATATATACATATTCTTATTATCTTATTATTAATAATAAGACAATTAATTTAATAATTTTATTCGTATAAAGTATTTATTTAATCTTATAACTGTCTTATATTAATATATAGTAAGTAGTGTATCAAGAATACAATTCCTTTGTAAAGTATTTAATGAATAAACAAATTTTTCCATTATTATTTCTATAAAAATATTTTTATTAAAAAAAGAAAAAAAAAAAAAAAAAAAAAAAAAAAAAAAACAGAATTATTAATAATGAAATAATGAATTTTCATACTTTTAATGTAACGCACCCGCCATAGATATTATCTACCCTTGAATCCAACTATTTTTAATATGTTTCTCTAATATATTTTTGTCCGATTTCTGTCATTATATATAATTCCAAATACTATAATAATCTAAACTCATCATTACCTTGTATTGATCGATAAAGTCTATTTATTAAACTGTAAATCATTTTATATAATATGATTATAATACTATAGATGAATATACTATTATATATAAATGTAAGAATTAAGATAGCATTTTTATTAATAACGACTACGTTAATTATAGAAATTTCCAAGTTTATTATCGTGGAAAACTACGAGCTCATATTTTATTCAATATAAATCAATTGCATTTGTTAATTTATACACTTGATTATTTGAAAGTATTAAATTGAAATTAAATTTCTGAATATACACAGTTGAACGATTTTGCGTTATATATAATGGAATGATCATTTTACAAATAAATAAGAAGAGGTTATGCTCAAATCTACAATATATAAACACACATACACATACACATACACACACACACACACGCACACACATATATATATATATCGTTCATTTGTATACAACATAACCTCTAACAGTAAAAAATTTCCAAAAATAATCATAAAGAAAATTACGAATCAATGTTAATAGAATCAAATATAATTGAATGAAATACCAATACAGATATTCGTAGAAGAAACGAGCACTTACTTTACGTATGGAAATTCAACATCATGTGTATTTTTCTATAAAATAGATTTCTTATGGTATAAGACTACATGGTTATGGTGCTGTATAAATAATTTTCAAGTGCACATCGTTTATATTTGTAAGTTAAAATAGAGTGTTAGATTAAATTAAATATTATACAGATAGTATGGATAATCAGTTGAGAAATGCGAAAAGTCGAGTTGTTTAGATAAACTGCTAATTATTTATTTTTAACGTCATATTATTATTTAGCTGTATTACAGTGGATGGGCATCAATCTTATCGACTGATAGGCACTAAAACTTTATCTATATTTGTTCGGTATCTAACAAAAGTGTTACATTCTTTCGTCAAATATGTGTTTTGCAATAGATTTTTTTTACTTCTTTTTTTTTCATTATTTTTTTTTTTTTTTTTTTTTTTTTTTTTTTATACAAATGATTTAAAGTTTTTTTCTGATTGATAGTACTTTACGCACCGAGTATGGACATTATTATATATATGACAATAAATTATTGTAAATGGATTAGAGTTTTCATCGATTATGTTATTATCTTATGTTATTATTATTTTAGAGTCATGAGAAATTTAATTTGTACGATTTTAACGATTCTTATATGAATGTTCTCTGTACAATAATTAATATTATAGAATTATCTGAACTTATTAAGATTTAGATTTTACCTATTATCATTTAAACATTAAAGCAAGGCGAGAAGCTGAATCGTAGAAATGTATAATTTAAAAAGATATTTAAAATATATAATATTAATACATCAAATATAAAGGTATTTTATGAATTCTAACAAGCACATGATAGTTTAAATTAATAAACTGTTGGAAAGCAGACGATTATTTATAAATTATATCAACGTATAGTAATAAGTAATTCATATCAAAATATATTACTATTACTATGTATTATCAATTAC